AAAAAAAAAAAAAAAAAAAAAACCACACAGATGTAGATTCCTCATTGGAAAGTTTTTGCTTGTTTGTTTTTTTCAATTGTGAGAGACTATTCATAAAAAGGTGGCATTAGTCCTTGATTGCAATTAAATCCTATTAATTCTGTCTAATTTAAAATGCTGAATATGTAAAATGTTAACTGTAAACATAGCTATAATACAGTTAGCATATGTACTATATTCACCTTTACATATATGTACACACAAGTGTTAAATATGTTTGTTTGAAAGTATTTTAACAACATTCTAAATAAAGAAGATGCTTCAACAACTTTTTGTGAGATCTACTGTTACTGACTGTTGCTTCTTTAACATTGTCTCTCAGTAAGCTGTACACCTTCACATACGCTGTTAAGCAAGGTTTATTACAGAACAAGCTATAGGTTCACTTCATTCAGCAACTCTCTTCATATTAAAAACAGTCAAAACATATTTTGCAAGGAACTACTTATTTTGCTACCTTTCTGTATTAGACTCTGTATTAGAGTCATTTTAGATTTTGCAGTGCAGAATATGTATAGGTCTATCTTACCTTTCATGTGTTCCACATAGCAATACACGTCATAAGTCTCATTAGGAAAACGGCGTCCATATGTCCTGACTCCTTTCTTTCCCATTTTATCTCCAAAGCAGCCAATTCTTGGATGTCTAATTGGATATCTGAAATGCAGCAGGATCACATTTGTTATTACGGTTAAGTCAGCACTTCAAGTTTGTACAGGCTAAGCATATTAATTTTGGAAAATGCTGTCTAGAGACCTTTTAAATGTCTCACCTAACAGTCTGGTCAGACAGCCAGCCAGCATCGCACTGTTCAAATCCATCTTCATAGGCCGCTTTCAGTTGTTCAGGGCTTGCTATGACAGCACCATTGTCCAGACAAGTCTGCTGAGCTTGTGTAAAATTCAGAGTATACCTGCTGGTTGCAGCACGATAGTGAAATACAACACCTGCAAAGATAACAAATTCGCATTACTGACACATCTTGCATCATTTTTTGCTCTTCTCATTATATTGTAACTTTCCCCAGATACTGTTACAATGCTGAAAACAGACTGGTATAATAAAAATAGTAAGAATCTTCAAGAGTCTGTCATATAAATGATGTCCCCCTCTAGCGGTTGCTACTGGCACGTTATGCAGCACTTTATATTAGGCACGCCTGGAGAAATTATCTTCCTGTACGCACAGAGCCTGCATGGCACAAACTGTGTGACCAGAAAAGGCTAAGCACTTCCGGCCCTTGGAAAGAAGAGGATTAAGAAAAATGGACTTTCTGGAGCAGGTCTCTACTGCTCATGAAGATCTGATGATCAGAGATAGCCTGACATCTGCTCCTATGCATGCAAAGCCTACAACAAATAAAACATTGACAAACATATGGCTGTTGGTCAACTTTTCATAACTTGTTTTCCTACACATGCTGTAAACAATACAGACTAGACAAAGCTTGATTTTATCTGGTGCCGTTTTGTTCTAAAAAGAACTTAGACTTTAAAGGGTTACTTGAACATATCAGAAGCTAGAGAGAGAGAGGCAGAGTTGAGGTGGCTTTGGTAAAGATGGGTGCTATGTCAGTGCCATGTTCTCTTTTCTCTACAGCTGGCTGTAACTCTCTGAATTCAGCAACAGTTACAAAGGCACAGTTTAAACAAACCACAAACTGTACCAGCACAGAGATGGCAGAAATCAGACACTCCTCACAGCAGGATCACTTCCTTCCATACCATCAACATCTTCTATGGTCTGCCATCAAAAGAATATCTCATGATGATCTTTGAGCAAAAATATACAGCCTCATTTATTTCACTCTAAAGTCTGCAGAAACAGCTGCAACACTATAAATAATCTACCTCACAGAATGGCTACAAAGTCAGAAGAATAAATCCTATAGTGTTCCTTTATTCTAATACTTTTGTGGAGGGAATATTTTTGTGATGAGGAAATAACATATCCCAACATATTTTTTTCAAAATAGAGGAATTGTAGCAATAAATAATTCACTATAAGTCTTTTATTAGAACTTTTTGTGGAAAGGCAGAAGAAATTTGATAATTTATGAGTAAGTAGTATTATGCACTTTCAATATACTTAGAAATAGTTCTGGTCTTACAAATTCAGTGAAATTTTGCCATTTTGCCAGAGATCTGGATATGACCAATAAGTAGAAAATATACTTTTTTCTTCTTTGCATGTTTTTGCTAAGAAAATTTCCCAAATGGAGCGAGAAAAAAACAGCAACAAAAACACTACAACCGCACACATTGTGTAAAACCTATACAGAGCTGAATCAAATCCCAATCCTCAAACTCCAACTCCACCAAAACTACTGGCAGAGAAAAAGGAGATAGAAGAGGAAATTTGGGGAATTCCCATATTTCATTACTTAATACAGATCCACCCATCAGCCGGGCCAATTATTAGGACCATACACCATCAGTGTCCAGTAAACTGCAATTGCAGAATGACTGACAATGGATAAGGCACAGTTGCTTCTTCAGAGCAGTGACATAATTTCAGACAGCATCAAATGGACTCAAGCAATGTTTGACAAAAGTAGCAACTGAAGAATACATCCTGAAACCTACTGTGCCTACATTACGTTAGTGAGCCTACGTTATTCAACTCATCAGGTACCTGCAAGTCAATCACCAAAACTGCTGAACGGTTAGATTAGCTCACTGCATTACTTGGCCCTGGCCTCATTCCAAATAATTTCTGGGAAAGCTCCAGGAGGAAGTAAATACTGGGGACACCTCCCCACAGGCTCTGTTCAAGAAGCCCATCCTCTTTTGGAAGGCAAAAGCGTCTAGCAGCATGGATGGGGCCCAGCTGGCCCCAGTGCTACAGATGAGCTTCAGTCACATTTCCTTATTGATAAAGACTATCTGGAATAGGAGAGATTGAGAGGGGGTGGCAGAAAAAGCTCTACACTAACTCATGCTTGTCATGCACTTTTGCTGTTCTGTGACACACACTGTTATCTAATTAGGGAAAAAAAAATCTATAGACTCTTAGTATTGTCCAAGTTGTGTGAAAAGGTATGTATAGACATGCAAAATGTATACGTGCATAATCACAGAATCATAGAATGCTTAAGGTTGGAAGGGACCTCTAGAGGTCATCTAGTCCAACCCCCCTGCACACGCAGGGTCACCTAGAGCACATGGCACAGGACTGCGTCCAAGGGGGTTTTGAAGATCTCCAGAGAAGGAGACTCCACAACCTCTCTGGGCAGCCTGTTCCAGCGCTCTGTCACCCTCACTGTGCCCTTAAGTTCACTCACTGTGAGTGCCCTCACTGTGCCCTTAAGTTCATGTGGAACTTTTGGTGTTTCAGTTTGTGGCCATTACCTCTAGTTCTGTCGGTGGCCACCACTGAAAAGAGGCCAGCACCATCCTCCTCACTGCCTCCCTTGAGGTACTTATAGACACTGATCAGATTGAGCCTTCTCTTCTCCAGGCTGAACAGGCCCAGCTCCCTCAGTCTCTCAACTGACTCTCGACTATCACTCTCGATAACATAAAGGTCATCTGCTTTTGCATAGCCCAAAACATGGAATCATGGAATCCTTTAATCCATATTTCCATCACAGAGCACTATCTCATGACAGAAAAAAAAAAAAAAGACAGAAGTTACAGATTACTTCATTGTTTTAATCTGCTAAATTTGCAAAAAAATAAGTGTTTTTCATTTGTTTGTTTTTTCTTTAAGATATTTAGTTACTTCAGTTGACACTGAGGACCAATTACCTACTGGTATAAATCAGCATGGTTCTATTCAGTGGTTCAGTAGAAAACAAATATATGATCTTCATTGACCTGTTTGGGGTTTTACAGCCAGAAATAAGAAATGGGAAAACGGCTAAAACATTTATCCTGAATACTAAAGACAAAGCTATAAGAACATATAGAATTAATAGAATATATATTTTATATATAAAGATATATATATAGCTGTTTATAGTATACAATATCAGACTCTGAGCCTGTAACTCAGACACCAACCATAAATTCAGAAGTATGTGAAGCACTTTGTTCATTTGGTTTGGTATTCTAACCTTAATTAAAATGCATTTTATATAAATTTAGATTCATTGCCTCTAATAAACTTTTTTTTCCTTCAAAATTACTAGACTGATGCAACATTTCATTTGGGATCAAAAGCATTTCTGCTCAGCAAAACCACAAAAAGGTTCATTAATTTAGCAGGAGAGGGCAACATATTTCTCTGAACTCATTTTTTGGAGCTTCATATTGCTTAAAAATGCAAGCACATTCCCAAGAACCAACTATCTTTCAACTCTCTCCCATTTTTGGAGTAACCACTGCTTTTCTCAGTTGGCATATTTTGGCAAGCTCTGTGATAGCCGAATAAGGCAAAACTAAAGAATTGTATCAATGTTGGTATCACTCCCAATTTAAAGTAGCTTTTGCAGGGTCAAGAAAAAGCCTTTGGTCATTTGTAAATCCTGGAAAGGAACTTGGAGAATGCTTTGTTCTCCTCACCCTGATCCAAAAGGTAAACTTCACCTATTCTTAGAGTTTAAGGCTCTTCCATTGTCAGTGAGGAGCTAATGGACATGAAAGAGCCTCCAAGATGAATGGGAAGGAGGAGGTCAGTATGTATAAGCCTGTGCAACAGCTGCAATAATTAGAAGAGCCCCTGGGGCTAAGGAGATTAAAGCGCAGGACTTTCATTGTTTCAGTTAGACACAGAGAGAGGGGCAAAATCCATTGTCCAAGTTTTTGCACTTTAAAACATTTGTAAAGGATTTTTCCCCTTTGTCTATTTGCTTTCTGAAAGAAAAGGCAAGAAAAAAAAGTTGTCCAAGGACAAATAAAGCAACTGGAAAACAGACTAGAGCAGCATAACATAGTTGCTGGACATCTGGCTAAACAGCTAAGTATAATTACAGGAAGGAGTAGCAGTGACTACTTTTGAGCAAGAAAGAGCACTCATAAGAAAGTAATTTGAGGTATTCAAGATTCACTGCCCAAATGACAGAATTTTGTCTGGGAGAGCATGTCTTTTAGTCAGTTATCTGTGTGTTACATTAATGAGAGAAAAATGTAAAGTATTTCACTTCTAAGAAACTGAACTTACATGCGCAAGAGACTAGTCCAGAGGTTTCACATTTGGGTTCCACCATTGACTTCTAATTTGCTAGGTTGTCACGCTGCAGTAATTCCTTGCTAGGAATTACTAGAGGGAGGCTCACATAAGACAGTGCATACTTTACTGTGGCCAATAAATTGCTATTCACTATCACTAGTGAACCCATACTGCTGCAACATATAGTCTCAGAGCCACATGAAGGCCGAATCTGGCAAGCCGTCTGATCCAGCAAAGAATATCTAATTGGGCTTTTCAAATAGCAACCCAAGAGAAAAGACTAAGATTATGATGACAGAGGCTGCAAATCTGTTAATTTTTAGGTTCAAATGATAGTCTGGGAGGGACCGGCCTCTCAAAGATCCCCCATGTTATTTCCAAAGCTAATCAAATTCTACATAAATTTGATGATCCTCCCTGCTTTTAATGCAGAAAACAATTTACATCACAAATGAACACCAAAATAGAGGCTACAGAACAGGCCACTGCATGAAAGGAAGGAATATGGCAGCATTTTCAGCTTCCTGTATGAATAATTCATTTGTGTTCCTCATTCGAGGTTTTGCACCCATCTTCTAACCCCTGTCCTAGGCTCTGGCACCTGAGGAGCAGAGGCTGCATTGCATCAGTGGGAGCTCCACCAACAAACACCTTGGGGAGCTTCTCAGCATGCAGACAAAGTGCAGAGCAACTGCTTTGCTCCCATGCACCCATGAGGGCTTCCTGCTCTCCAGAGGTAGGAACAGCTAGAACTGACTCTAACTTTGTTTCTCTGCACAGAGTTTGGGGTGTTTGAGCTGCACAGAATAACACAGCTGCGTGCATGGGTACACAA